ATTACTGAACTTTTACCTAAAATTTGGGGGTTTTTATAAAAATTCAGCAGAATTTGAAGATCATTTACTACTGTGTAAGTTGATTTTATTTTAAATACATATCTCTAAATTGAGGTGAATATGTAGTGTGAATCATCACAAATTTCACATTTAAGTTCTCACTAGTATGGCTAAGAAGTTAATACTGGGACATTAAACGAGCTACCTATGTCGCTGGAAAATTAATATTAGGACAAATTACTACATTATTTATCCATATCCATGAATAAATGTATGGAATTTCTCTCGATTATTTTATAGTTTACAGGAATTTTCCACTTAGTCTCAGTTTGTCATTAAATTTACCTTCAAACCTACCATTTGACTGCAAATTAGCCGATTTCCTATCAGATTATTGCTTTGAAAGAAGTATTCCATAATGGAAGTGAAAAGGCATCATCGGTAGATGCAGTTCATTCGGTAATGCGAATGAACTTTTATCCTTAGTATTGCGTAACTATTTGCGATTAGTTACAACCCAATTTATAATGAGAAATGTGGACCATCAGATAATAATCTGAATGTTAGACAACGTTTCAAGAATATAATCTAAAGTATCAGTATCAGGCGGAATAAGTACTCAGGTAGTTATAATTGCTAAATATACTGTGCCTATCATCAGCTACTTGTAGAAGTTCTGACTAAAACTTTATACCAGAGTTACACGAGAATACTTCCTTACAGATTTCGATTTTGTATTTTACTTTGATTTTTCAATATATATATATACGTAAATACCATCATATCTGTAGTATTTGGCAGTTGTATGATCAAAATTCTGGTAATGGCCAAGACAGATAAATCTAAAATCCTATTTTATTTATTTAAAATGTTAGTGTATGTTTAATTTGCCCAAAAGAACTACTTAATGGCATCAGATTTTGTTCATAGAATCGACTATAAACCATAAATGGTTGGCAATCGTTTCTTCCCTGTGTGTGACAAACAATTCTACATGAGACTTTAGATTTAGATTTAAAACTCAAGTTTATAAGTTCCTCAAATAAAAACACAATCATAATTTGGTATTTTAGTTTTCAAGTATTGACTACCTTTGCACAACATAATCCAATCATGTATTTTTTTCGAACAGAGGTTAGATAATCTGCATTTGCATGCTTCGAATTGATGCAAAATTCTATTTTTATAAGAGATGTATAGATGATAATTTTATCATCTGTGAATGAGACAGAGACCTAAATAAAATATTACAAGTGTTCAATAATTGTTACCGCTTGATTAAGTTCATAATAAAAGCGGAGTTAAACTCAAAATCCTACTTACTTGATGTTCTACTGAAACGATGATCAGATGGGTCCCTACGATGATCGTTAGGGGGCAATACACAAATCTTCTGGAGAATGGCTCCCCAGCCAAAAGGTAATCTAAAACCAAAAGTCAAGTTAAAATAACTCCTACAGTTCCGAAGAAAGATTTACTCTCGAAACAGTAGCTAAGATATTAAAAAACAGACTATCCAGAGAGACTTTTAATTCAACAGAGCTCCCGACCGTTACCTCCTGCGAGAAACTTATTCAGGGAAGTGTCAAGGATAAAATGCCGCCTTGGGACACCTCAATGTACATCTACCAGTTTAGTTGCCCCTGTCGGGAGGGTTACGTCGGCCGTACGAAGTGCACACAAAGCACTATCCTCCATGGTTACATAAAAGTGTATACAAATTAATCTATAAATCAGCTCTTGAACACATGATCAATTAAGGTCACACCCCACACCCCTCTACAAAGTAAGAAGAACTGGATCAAAAATGTTTGGGTGAGGAAGTTATGCACAGCCGGGTCTATAAAATTCATTTCAAACCCAAACTTTAAGTACAGAAGAGCCACATTCACTCCCTAATTCTTTCAGGATTTTAACACCCCTTCCAATTCTATATATTACAATTGCTAATTATTGCTTTCTTCTCGTTTATTACTTCCAAAACTATTACGTATTGTAAATTATTGATAATTGTTGATTACTTTATTGAATGGTGCACTCTTTTTTAAGAACTTTAATTACATAAAAATAAGACTTCCATTTATTAATTACCACTGGAAATACTCAAAGATTTTTTATAATCTCAACTATATTATGCAACACCACTTCATTTTGATTGACCTCCATTTGAATAAGTTTGACGATCATTGATAATTTTGTAATATCACTCTATTTTGCAATAGAGTAAAATAAACTACAACATTTAAAAAATCACCTATAAATACGATTTTACAACTTCAGAAAATGATATCGTTGCAAGGAATCTTTTCTTCACTGAAACGTCTTCATTCCTTTTAATATCAAAATACTTGAGAAAATAGTAAGTTTGGTTTTATATTGTATAGATAATCCTTACTATAAAAATGATATATTAATACATCATTCACAATACTTTACAAAGTGTTATTCAAGTAAAATATGATTGAATATTGAGAAACCTGGATTTGTTAATGTAAAATAAAACTCTATCCAGACTCACTACTGTACCGTTACACATGACTAAATTACGGGAAAAATAACACAGTTCATAGTACTCTATGTAAACAAAAATGTACTATCGGATATTTACAAAATCATTTGGATAGTAGAAAATTAGAAATGTTTCGTACTGCATAACTAGACATTAATTTTTAAAGTAATGTGACTCACTTTTGTGCTAGTCTGTTAGAAGGTTGATTATGATTTGTTGAAAGAATTCACTTTACAGTAAGAATGTATGTTGGTCGTTAATATCTAACAGTAATGAGTTAAACTTCAGAAGCATGTTTTTTTATACGAACTGAAAGGGTAGGACATACATTACGCAAATCGTCAAACTGCATCACGAGACAAGCACTAACTTGGAATCCTGAAGGGAAGCGGAAAAGAGGAAGGCCTAAGAACACATTACGTCGGGAAATAAAAGTAGATATGAAAAGAATGAATAACAACTGGAAGGAGCTGGAAAGGATTGCCCAGGACAGGGTTGGATGGAGGATGATGGTGAACGGCCTATGCTCCTTCACGAGGAGTACCAGGCGTAAGTAAAAAAACGTAAGAAAGGAAACCCCTTAATTATCTCCAAATTTTTAAATCATTTCATGTTTGTAGGTCAGACAATTCCACATTTACATAAAATAAAGAGAGTATGAAAGTCTCACTATCAATTTACTCATATTGAGATATAAACAGATCAAATATTAGACACTCTTTTATACAGTAGAACAGATTCGCTAATTTTCATTAGCTTCATCCGATATGATATCGGTTGATGATAAAAGCTTATTTCCAATTTGTATGTCATCTACAGAATATCGTATTGGGAAATGAGTTATTTATGTGCATAAATAATAATATAAAGCTTAATTTACACACCTGAATATAATTATAAATTTGACAGTCAAAGCTTTGAAATAAAAGATATTAAAAGATGTTAGAAAACATAAAATTCATTTTAATTGAGTGAACATTTGTAAGGCTAAAAGAAAAAGATATTCTACTAAGGAAGGAAGCGGAGTTGTTAACGTAAATATATACAAAGTAGTAAGGTATGACATTAATAAAAGTGATAATACACTAGGGAAGAGAGTTACTCAAAATTACGAATAAAATAATAATTGGGAGGTCTGAAATATATAAGAAGCACAGGAATTAGGAAAGATTAGCATGATTTTTTAGATAATTTTGTTTAAATAGGCTAAAAACAGCTAGATGATTGCTTATTATCAGACATATGTATAATTTACATACCTACAAGGAGTAATTCATTTGAAAGTAGTGGGATAAATTTCTTACCTAGTTGCTTTTTAGGCATTTTACTTGAAGTAAACAAATTAAGGTATAACTAGATAAACACTGGACATTATACTTTGAAATTATTTTCTGTTTCATCTTTCACAATCTTCAAACGCTTAACTATCCACACTTATTTCATCTAGATTTGGACTTTGAGGTCCCAAATGATTGTGCACAGAGTTTGAATGAACGTTCAGGCGAATGAATCAATGTCACTTTACGTATATTATTACTCATTATGTTAATTCTAAACCATGCCCCTAAATTTATTGATTCAGCTCATTATCAGAGTTTGCACATCCAAGAATCAAAGACTAGTTAGAGGAGATAACAAGAGGCTTAGTAAAGTATAATATTGTAGTTAGAGATCTTTAAAAGTCTCTTCCTTAGGGTTTCAGCTGTGCTACTCCCATTGACTGTTTATTCGTGCAATGATTCTTTTTGATAACTATCACATGGATCATTCGAATCTTTGTTTTAGTTTAAATATTCTATCAGTGCACCTAGATATATAGTTGTTTTTTTTACAAAAATTTGTCAGAATTTTTCCTAAACGTCATCAACTTTCGTCGACATTCATATTTTTTCAGTTCTCGGTGGTAAAAACAGAATAGTGGTTTTTTTCATATTTAGTGGGACACAGATTTGGAAATTCGTTGACTTCTCGTTTCGAGCTGATTTTATAGATATTATACTTTATGAAGTGATATTCCGTGTTAAAGTTCTATTTCCGCACGAGGTTAGTTTATTAGAGACAGTTTTTGAACTCATGAACGGTGTCATAAACTTTGCTATTTTTATATCAAATAATGAAATACTGTTCTTATACCGCTTTTGTAACTTCAAACTGTCGAGTAGTGAATGAAGCACAACATTAACCTAATTTCTGATAAATTAACTGACTAAAAAGTGATCGATGCTAAACTTAATCAGTCCATCATCAGTATGTCTATAAAACTCATTATAAGATGGTAACCTCAATCTGATCTTGAACAACGATTGAAAAACCATTTCTTCACTTATAATTATCAATATAAAGAAATACCAGAAGTTTTAGTTTTATTGTTCATTTCATTTGCACGTTCTTACTTATAATAACTTAATCAAAAGTAACTGGAAGATCACCTCTACCAGACTGGCTGCTTCATAAAACATGAAACCATGGAACCAATTTAAGCTTCACCCACTTTTACACTAAACATTTATTATTTATCAAATTTATTATAAATAAAATCATTTACAAACATTTTAGCAATTCGTATTACATTTATTAAATGAACGCTTTGGCAAACGTTTTTCAGTATATTTTTTTTGGTCGGTAGCGTCAATATTAAAGTTCTATTCAATCATATTCATCATCAGCTAATGAATTGATTCCATAAATTGAAGAACGTTTCCCGCTAAAAATAAAAGTAAATAAAAAGAGATAAATAAATAAGCCAATAAAATAAACACTGGAAAAGTTGAAAGAAAAAAAACCATACAGTAATGTTTTCAAATCACATTACTAATTCGTTAACACGTAAAGTATAATATAAAGAAATATAATACACCTGTTTACATTAAAACTTTTGTTCTTTGAGCAATAATTGGTAAATAGGTTGTTTGTTTGTTTTTTAAAAATGGCAATAGAATAAAAATTCTATCATTGTAACCATAGTGATAATAACAACAATTATATACATAAATATGAGTTATTAAAATAGAGACTATAATGATTAAAGCTTTCTTTGTATTGTGAAATTCTGTTGAGAATCAAAAATAATGTTTATTTTTTTTAAAATCATCTGTCGAAATATTAACATTTTTTTTGTATGATACATAAACATATAAATATCATACATAAAAGTACATAGATATTGAATTTAATGAATTATACACATTAACTTATATTGTATTGCATAACATTACAATTTAATTTGTCTAATAAATAGAAAAACAAGATGAACTTTTTAAGAAATAAAAACTAAAATGGTATCCATTTGTAATACTTAATTGTCTTATTTATGGTTAATTTAAAATATAAATCTGTTGAGATGAGTCTATTCAATATTGTGGCCTCTCTAAGTGAAATGAGATATCATTGTCTGAATAGTTTTTTGTGTTGAAGTGGTGCAAAAAACATGAATTTTCTGGAAACACTAGTTGGTAAGTTGTGAGCTATTGGTTAGATTGTTTCTGAAATATGACTATATTTGTTGATCTATAATTATATTGTTACATCTAAAAAGTATGAGATAGACCTTAATTCTTCAAACTACCTTTTTCTCATTTAATCTTGAATGAAGAAAAATTAAATTGCTGAAACTTATTCGATGTGATACACACATACTTTCACTAACATTTATGACTAGTACTTATATTATTTCAATGGAATAGAAATAAACAATATCTATGTGAATACAAATAGAAAAATGGCTTTCAGTAGTCACTTTTGATGAATAAAAAATTACTCTTCACAATGTGACAAATTCAGTCTGTACTGATGAGGGCATTTAGGTAAAGGTATTACAACAAAGAATCCTTAGTAATGAATTAATAACATTTTATTCAATATTTAGTTATCGGAATATTATAATATTAAAATAAAAAACTCAGTACCTTAGTGGTACATCCATTAAAAGCATACTAAAATAGTTTAACTCAATATAATTTACAGTCTTTATAAGCAAAGGTCGATGGTGGTTAGCAGTGGAATACAGGACTCGCGTTTCGTACTGTTTGGGACACGTCATCTGGGTGTACGTGCATCTAAGAGTTGATGTTCACTTTAGGACTCGAACCTAGTACTGTTAGCTTCAAACACCCACTTAACTACTGAGTCCTGATAGTCACTTGCTTGTGCAATGAAGTGAAATTTAAATTTGCTTAATAATATTTGCTTGTATCTTCCCATTGTTGTCAAGGTCTGTAAGTCATCAATCTCTTATTGGTATATGTGCATCCCGAGTGAACATCAACATTAAGATGCAGGTACATCTAGCTGACGAGTCCCAAATGGGACTAAACGCGCATCCTAAATTACCACTATAAAAGCATATATTTACTCAAAACACCGTAAATTCATGAATCTGTACTCTTTGGAACATTATCGAATTTTGTCTACTTATAGATAAACATTCTGTTTTTTTTCTTAGTCAGAAACCCTTTGCAATTAGAATTTTCATTTTATTATGAATAAAATTAATTATCTTTATAAATAAACGATTTCCTTTTACAATAAATAATTTATGACATTTCAGTAAAAGAAGAAAAAAAGTGTGTAAGTTAATAGCTATGAAATAAACATTTCAGTAGCTGAAACCATGAGCCAATTAAAGCTAAACCACCATGAAAAACCTGAAAGCATTGGACGGCCGTTTCTTTCTATTGTGGGACTCTTCAGTAATGAACAGTCATAGATTGTCTAATTATTTGACACATTTACTACCCTATAGATAACTATTTTCATTTTCATTTTTTATTATACCATCATTATATTATTGTAATAGATTATTAAAACTTTACTGTGAAAAAGTACACTTTTATAGTAAATTAATATCTTTAATAAATTTCATTTGTTAAGATCATGAGTCAGTTGATGCTAGACCACAATGGAAAACCTGGGAACAGTGAACAGCTGTTTCGTTTTATTGTGGGACTCCTCAGCAGTGCGCATCCATGACCTCACCCCGCGGGATTTGAACTCAGGACCTACTGATCTCACACGCGAGCACTTAACCACTAGACCTCTGAGACGGCATCCAACAGTATTAATGTCTAACTTCAACTAATCCACGAAATTGAGCGACACATTTAACATTGTCATCAATGAGTTACCATCTCACAACTGACCCGGTTGAACTATACTAGTCACTATTTCTCACTAGAACTCCAGGATATACATCTTTAATAAATGATGAAAGAGTATAATTATTTATTAAAAATTCAAAACTAACAATATTATATAAACTTACAGATCTTCAAGCCATTTAGCACTATCTTTTAATTTTTGTAAACGTAATAATTCTTGAAATCTAAGTCCATTTAACATACGTTTTTTTGGTTTATTTAAATATTCATATCTAATGAAAGTAAAATAAAATAAAAATTCGATTTATAAATAGTACCAATCAAACAATTTAATTAAAACAACAATTTTCTTTTCAAATATTTAACATCATTCTTGTGTTTGTTTTAATGAAACAAAATATATATGATTACGTCATTTAATTATGTTATCTCAATCATTTACTATTTATAATGCTGTTACATTAAAACAAACACAATTCACTGATTTAAATTACTTTTTTTCTTGAATATTTATTTCAATTATCTTTGACATTTACAAGGATAATTTTCATTGTATATCTCAACTTTTATATTTTTCACATTGATCAAGTGAATACATAAAAGCATTCACCATATTCATTTTATTATAATAGATGAAACTAACACTAAACATTAACAATAAATCATTTTTTTGTTTTGAAAATAATGGTATGAAACTTAAGAAATGTTATACATTAGTTCAATTATAAGTTGATAACTAGTATAAAGGTTGTGAAAATTATTAAGTTTTTGATTGAGATCATGAACTGATTGATGTTAGACTATCTTTGGAAACATGGAGGCACTGGACGGCCGTTTCGTCCTATTAGGGGATTCCTCAGCAGTGCGTTAATAATAATAATCAATAACTTGAATCGATCAATATTTAGTATATAATTCTTATTTAAACTTTTCTGAATTCCAATCTAAATTAAAGAACAACATCAAATTTTCTATTTTCCATTGATAATAAGTGAAAAGGTATAAAGCACAGACTCATAATAAACTGACTTGTTACCAAGTTAAAATTCATACTATATGTCTGAATAACTTTGAGGTTAGACATTAAAATCCATTGGATGCCAGTTCAGTGGTCCATTAGGTTAAGCGTTCGTGCGCGAGACTGAAGGCCCTGGATTCGAATCCCACTAACGGGGTCGTGGATGTGCATTGTTGAGAAGTCCCACAATATGATGAAACAGCCGTCCAGTGCTTCCAGGTTTTCAATGGTGGTCTAACATCAATCGGTTTATGATCTCAGTCAATAACTTAACAATCTCCACAACCCCTAAACTGATAAAGATATAATAATACAGACTAATGACTTATCGGTCATACCGTTAAACTGTAATTTCATGTACATCAAAAAGATAATAGACTGAATGGTCTATTAGTATTTCAGTTATGATTATAAACCAATAAAATTATATACTTAAAACTGAGTTACAAAGGTTTTGACTAATTAATAGTATTAACATTTTTCATATTTATGAGGATATTCATTTTTCCTTTGTAAAATCCCTTGAATAAATTTTATCATATTTTTTTGATGCTGGAACAAAAACAAATGTACATGACATTCTCTATTTTTTTGTGACTAACTGTTAAAGATCAAACGGTTGAAATAGCCTACGCAATTTTTCACTCAGTTATCACATAATGTTTGTTTTTTCAAAATATTATTTTCTTAATGTTGATGCTTGAAATTTCTAAATTTGAAGTATTCTATGCTTGAGCCATTCTATAGGGTCAAAGACAGATTTTTAAACGTAAGCTTAGTAGATCATCTGTTAAATTTTGCTACTTCTTAAAATCTTATAAAATATCGTTAGTTTAAGATTACATTTATGGCTAGAATATGTCTCCCTAGGTAATCCAGTCACTGCTTACCCTAACACTATATACTAGTTAAAGGTTGTCTGGAAGAAAGTTAGCGAAAGATGTATCAAGGCATAACGTTAGTCGTTCCAGATTTTTGATCATTAGTTTATATCAATTGATGAGATTCTAACACTTTGATTAAATTCTATCAGATAATTCCTATCTCCTCTTTTTCTCTTGATATGATTTTTCTGTTATGAATTATATTTCGTAAGATAGGAGATTTTTTAGATGTTCAATACGCCGGTTAATCATTATACCATAAACACGCCAAAATCAACCCTATTCATCAATCAATTTAAGCAAGCTGCCTTCTACGTAAGGTCTGTACCGATAATAAAGTTCAGAAGTACAATAACAGTTTTATAGTAAAGCCATTCAGCTCAGAGTACATGGCTCCTCCAAAAGGCATGAGCACCATTAAAACGTTTGTGTGGCAGATGTTTTCAAATGCAGAAATGATAAATGGTTTTAAATAACTTCTGCCATTATTGCATTAAATTCTTTCACGGCCATTATAAACAAAATTATAATTTGGAACGTTTATCAGTTGGTTAAACTATTGAGGATAGACATTATTACCTTTGGATGCCAGATCAAGGGTCTAAATGTTAAGTCTTTGCTCACGAACCTGAAGGTCCTGGGTTTGAGTCTTGCGTTCATGATCGTGGATGAACACTGATGAGTCCCATAATATGACGAAACGGCCATCCAGTGCTTCCAGGTTCTTAGTGGTGGTTTAGCTTAGAGTGACTCGTAAATTCAACTTTAAAATAATATGGATAGCTTCAGGTTCTATGATTTACTCTTGTATACAGGCATATTAAATAAAACTAAAAGGATATCATTGAAAATTGTAAGCATTCATTAATGAGTTGCTGATATACTAACTAGTCTATGAGATTCAGATTCGATCCAGGTTTGATTTTGATCCCATTCAACTAAAATTGTTTATGACTACCATTTAAACTAAAAAAATTTGTTTTTATTGTATTTATTTGAATTAACTGCCCAACTAAAGTTTTTTTTTAACGGAATCCAAATCTGCAATCGACGGTAGATTTAAAAGAATAATTCCAAATTAAACTATTTAAAAATGCTTTGACTAAATGACATCTATATTTCAAGACTATGTTAAGAGAGAAGTATTTGATATAACTCAAATTAATAATAATTCAATTAATTTTACATAGGATTGGAATAAATTTCTTGAGACAGTACATTAAATACCTTAAGCACTGACCAGTTTTTTTCTAACTATTCAAAAGATAAACCATAGTTACAGTGAAGAAAACATTGAGAATGATATGTACTTATCAATGTGATACTTTTAAATGTTTTGAACAAAGTGATTCTACTTTAAAGAAACCTGTAATACTTTAAAATTATTAATAAAGATCGAAAGGATATATTTCTTAAGAAAATATTGTTATACGTATGTATTATATATTGAAATGTAATAAACTGTTTATACACACAATAAAATAGATTATAATGAGATCATTGTTCCATTTTAGAACAAAAAACATCTTTAGCAAGTAAGTACTAGCAGTTTAAGACCATGAAGTAGAAAAGATGTTCCAGAAACTTGAAAAAGAAAATACTTGAGAATTTCCATTAGGATTTTTTGTATAAGAAGTTGTTACTTATTATGTATATATATTTGCTTTAATAACATGAAAACTTCCACAATTAAAATTATTCATTTAAAATCAAATCAATGAATATCTCTGAAATGTATATTTAAAGGAATTATGTTTAAAATGAAAGATTAGAATATGAATATATACATAGTGTTTATAATATGAGATTTAAAAGGTTTTAGTTTTATCCCTTATGTGATTGTGAAAGCTCATTGATGGAGACGAAACAACTGTCTAATTCATCTTGATATTCGCTAGTTATTTTTTTAGCTGATGTCATCTCATAATTAAAAGTATAATCAAATAAATATTATTCTCAATCTGATATTTTCAAATACGTAACGTACAATACTATCCATGATTATTAGTTTGCTAGTACTATTGTAATACATATGAACAATGTTCTATCCTACAATAGTCCTGCGTGATAATAACACATAATATATAGGCAAATACAAAAATATAATTACTTTAGAACTATTAACCTAGGTATTTGATAATTGCCAGACCTTTTATATCACACGCGATCAATTTGTATGACCGTAAGTTGATGAACTTATCATGGCAGCCCAATTCATTTTGGAAAAATACACAATGTCCATTATTAAAGTTAATCTATAATTTTTAGGCTAATTATTTAGAAATAAACGTTCGCTCTATGTTGAAAATTGTAAAAAGTTGTATTCATTGGCTATTATTCTGATATTAAATCTAGCATTTTTTGAAATCTATTTATTACCACAAACAATAATATGAATACTCCTATAAGAATTTTAGGAAAAGTTTTCTATACTCGGATTCACAATGGTCAAAGTCATCAAAAGGTTAAAACTTGAACTTTTGGAACCACCTTAAATATGCATTTCCTGTTGTTCTCAACTCTGATAACCCAAACTTTATTTCCTCAAACAACATCCATTCATTACTTATTGTTTCGATTTATACAATTTACATAAACTTTAGGGAATATCATAATTGATTATAAAATTAATATCAACCGATCATTAAAAATAGCCTAATGATACTAGAGAATCTTAAGATAAACGACTCATCAACTATATAATTCCACGTTCAAACTCTGATCATTATAAAAATTATAAATTAATAGAAAACTCTGATCAATAAACATGTGAATTGAAATCCATAATTCGTTATTTATTTTTTGATACTTATCTTTTCGATCCACTAAGTAATGAATAGATCAATCTTCCCAACACAATTCTTAGATACAAAATAAAAATTTCATCATTTGGATTAATATATAAAAACATTTTAAATATCTAACAGTTTTACACACTAATGTCTTTGAATAATCATTTAACTTTCTTTTCTTTATTTAATATATTCATGAGAACTGACATAATTAGGTCAATTTTCAAGTAATTAATTAAAGATTTATTAATTTGACGAGATAGCAAATTATTAATACAATAAAATGGAATTTTGTAAAAGATGAATACGTCATTTGGACAAATAGTTTTATAATAATAAAAAAAAAAGAGAAAAAAAGAAAGAAAGAAAGAAAATATTGAACAAAACTAAATCACTCTTGTTCTTATTAATCTCTATCCATTACATAGAAAAGTTATAGTTACTAGAATTATTGTTTCTCTAATAATAAAAGTTGAACTTATAAAACCATTATATCTAATTAATTAATAATAAATATATAAATGATTAAAACAAAATAGACAGATATAAGATAGACAATTATATAAAAGCATTATAGGATATAAATGTTAATCAATAATATTTATTTGATACATAGATGATTGAATATAAACTAAGAAATCGACAAATCAGAAAACAAAATGCAACACAAGTTTCATTGACATTTAAAACATTTAGAACAACATATATAAGCGAACAATATTGTTTCCGATTACAATTGATTGATCATTGGGTGGTGATCAATGTCTTGCTTGTCTAGTCCTTATTAGTGCAGATCGAATGCTATCGATCATGTTGCAATGTGGCCACCAGTCTAGGTAACTCGACACTGCGGGCACTATGTATTGAGATTTAGATGGTGGTTGGAGGTAGTCAACAGGAAACCCTGGACCCTGAACCCAGTGATCAATCAATTGTAATTACATCTCAGTCCTACAGGAGGTTAGTCACGGCTCAGATAGCTCAGTGGTAACGTCTCTGACTGTGAAGCTGGGTGACACGAGATCGAATCCGCCAGGGAGCACCGGTTCCCTCAAGATTACAGATACACCTTGCTGACGAGTGCCAAGTAGCACGAAACCCGGGTCCAGGGTTTCCTATTGACTACCTCCAACCACCATCTAAATTGTTTCCGATTAGATCCTCGTCAGGCTTTACTCTAATATACAGTAATATTTATATGCATATAAGAAATTATTAAACCAATCAAGGTAGTTTATAAGTTAATAATAACAAAGTATTAAATAGAGAAGATATTGCGACACAGTCAGTAAAAAGACCTTATATCTGAAACTTGACTTTAAAGGCGACATAGCGGGTGATATTCTAACACGTCGACTCAAAAGATCTGTCGAGAGGACGTTTCATGCCGCCAAGTTACACATAACTTTCTCGACTAAACCAGTACTCACACAACTAATCAAGGATAAGTTACCGAAGATGGGCTCCTCCATGTGTGTATACCAATTCAACTGCTCCTGTGGAGCTAGTTACATAGGCCGTACTCAGAGGGCTTTATCCTTGCGTGTTCGTGAACATGTACCAGCATGGATGGAAAAGGAGTCACCAAATCGATTAACAGCACCATTCTTTCTCACTTGGTAGATAGTGAACATCATATCAAAATAGAGGAAGCTTTCTCTGTTTTATATCAAGTTCCAAAATATCTACCTCAAGGAGCTAGATTACGACTGCTTTACACAGCCGGAGCCATCTGGATCAACTCCAGAAGACCTAATTTATGCATCCAGAAGAAATATATCCAGCCTCTGTGTTTACCCTGGCCTACGACTAGATCACCAAATACCTAGACTGAATATTATAAACCTCTTACCCCTTCCTTCCTTCATTTTTATTTATTTTCCTAATTATCATTATTTGTCATTATCTATATCTTAATCTTCATATCCATCATTCCCAATTTGTTGACCGTAATTACCTTGATAACACCCCCCTTATTACATATTATATTCACACAACAATATTATTATTATCTCAGTTGACAAAATTATTTACAATTTTGCAATAGTACTATTACATTATCTTATTGTGACTGAACAGTTTACTGACCTTTATTGAATGACCTTTCTAATTTGCAAATATATCGTAACAGATGTAAACGTTCACCATTTTTAACACATAACATTGTCAAACTCATTAAAACATGCCTTATTTTTGGCCTTTGTAAAATAACTGTAAAATAACTGTAGAGCCTGATGTTGAAGTTATTGAAAACAATTGTTCGCTCAAATATTCTTCATTTTTGAATATTCTATGGGGATTTTTAAACTGCTAACAATTAGTGATTTATTATGCATACTACTGAATAATATTAATGTTCTTTCTGTCTTTACTTACACATCCATTCACATCACTCAGGGTCATTTTTAAAATATATAAATAATCAACATTTTTCTACCAGTCCGTTACTAATTTAATTGACTCCATAGTCTTTTATTTTCATTTATTCCATAATTCTCATAGAATTTGACTAAATAATAAAAATTTATTACAACATTACACTTTAATGATTAGAATAAGAATCAACGAAACATGTTACTATGATACCTTTGCATCACAATGAGCATCAGTCTTACTACAGACACAAGATTTTTGACTTATCACCCCAAAATATAAAGAATCACATAGTTGATTATTGATCTATGATAGCCTTTTTTTCTGAATTGTATATATCTTTGTTAAACAAACACACATAGTTGATAGATCTAAAACTAAATGGAATATACGTTAATGCTTGTAGTTCATAGAAATTTCACGAGAAATTATAAGTTATTTCAATTCAGTAATAAAGCTCTATACAGAAAACTTACAGATCAGTTTAGTTCTCGAAATTTTAATATACGAAAATTTTATTAAAACATAAAGTGAATTGAAATTCACCACATTGCACAAGCAAGTGGCTGTCGGGACTTAGTAGCTAAGTGGATAAATAGATGGTGTTTGAAGCGAATGGTACTGGGTTCGAGTCCCAGAGTGAACATCAATTCTGAAATGCAGGTACACCCATCTGACGAGTTCCAAATAGTACGAAACACGTATCCTGGATTCCGCTGCTAGCCACTATCCATCTTTGCTTACAAAAATGAATTTAATTTTGTTTATTAAATCCATTATTATTTATCATTTAACTATTATCATTATTATTATTTATTATTATATATGCATTAATTCAAGTTGTCATGACAATATCAGTACAGCGAGAAAAAATTACCGAGAAAAATCCAGAGCAAAGATGAAATGATAATATCTGTGGTTGTAGAAAAAAAGTGGGTATTAATATTATGATTCAAGAAGAGGGAATGAATTCGGGAAACGGAAAATTCTAAGAGAAAATGACAACTACATTCAAGTACTACATCTGTATATGCAATAGTAATTTGTAGTAAAGTTTTGCCAAAATATTTATTAGAAAAACAAGATTAATAATAACGCTAGACCATACGTTTATTCTATCTATGTACTCTAATTCTCACTATTATTAATTATAATAAATACTGAATTCAGTTTGACTTTAAGATTGTATTAAAGCCCTGATTTTGAAGAAGAAGAAGAAGAAGAAGAAGAAGATACAGTTTGATGAGATGATATCATACAGTATCAAGAATAAATTACAGAAACTTAATTGAATATAATTTCAACATTTATTTTACTGTAACCGATACGATATGATTTCTAATGATGACTGTATAAACACATGCATGTCTTTTCAGGTCACGTTTATCATCATTACTTTCTTGTCATTCATGTTACTTATACTCTGATTCTCCTAACAGTAATAATTTAGATATTTTGAATATAAATTGGTTGAAGTGTAATTAGACGGCCTAATAGAAAGTCAGTGGTTATACCTAATGTTTAAACTAGATATTTTTTAAAAAAAACCATAGTGGGAATACCTAAATTATTAAACAGTAAAAGATTGGTCGTATATTACATAAATGTCATTTTAACAATTCATTAATTCATAAAAGAAGAGCACTGATGTTTCTTAAATTGACATGATGTAAGTACAGTTTAATTATAAACATACAACAATAGGCTGAACATTTTTCTCTATGGTGTTATCTTCCATGATTATGTTTAGTTCAACATCATTGTAAAGAATAAAACTAATGTCACTCGAATAGAACAGTCTACATTTATTATATTAATGACGAATTCGCTTAAATATATAAAGTTAAATAATCTTTAAAAACATTTTGGAACACACCAGTAATTTATTGATAAGAAATTCATTAAATCATTCTCAGTATTTTAATCTTTCATTGACAAATAAGAATTTTCCATAGAATGTGAAAAATTATTCCAAAGATTTTTTTTGACAAAGTTACTTGGAAACTTTAAATTCACAGAATGATCTTTAAATTTGAACCAATTTAAGTTTGCTCACACACTAATCCAATACAAACCTTATCTTTGAACTACTGAAATAAGTCTTAGCTAAAAAGAAAGAATTAAACGGGATGTCTTTATTAGCAAAATATTGTATATTCCGATGATAATTTCTATCAAGAAGTAATTTCAACTACAGAATCACTAAGAATCATAAATCATCAGGATTTTTTTTTCATTCAAGGATGAACTTAATGTTCATTACGTTTTGGTATTAATAGGTTATTCAGTTGACATCAATTGGTAACGAAAATTACCTTCCGATGGAAAGTTTATTTAGAAACTAATGAATAAAAATCATTGTCATCAATAGTAACTTACGCGGAGTCACCAGGAATGATTTGATTTTCTTTAGACTGAGGCAGACACTCGGTGATTAGTATAATAGAAAACAGTAAAACGAAACCAACAATAGTTATTTTATTTGACCAAATCATTTGTAAAATAGTTATCTTAACAATAAATGTAAATAACTTTGTTATTAATAAGTGAGTAGTAGGAAAACGAATTTCTCAACATCTCATTTCAGAGGATTTAAATTTGTTAATCCACCAATTAACGATCAGCTGTCTTTTTTTGAAAGAAACAAAAAGTATTTTTTTTATTATTGGTTGAAAATATTTTCTCACATGTAATTGTGGAGGTGGGTTAAAGTGTCTGATAAATATGGATAGATTTCATCAAATCTTTGTGATTAAATGGTTAAAAAACTTGTACGATGAGATGGAAATTCGGTAAATTAATATATAGGTTAATCATGAGAATACTTCACATGAGGAATTCTTCATCTTCATAATATTTTCTTCCAATGAAATTTCTGAGGATGATACTAAACAACATAGAAATGTTCAACTGTTACCTAATCATTTAACATCTAAACCACCCAGAAAACTTCGTTTCAGGGATATTTTATAACTGAACAAAATCACTGGTATTACTTAATGCAAGAAAAAGTCAACGAATATAAAAACAAATTAAAAGCAATTTCTAAGCATACAGATTGTTATATACCTAATTTACACCGATTAATGACAAAATTTCAGATAAATTAAACTGAATAGTATTTGATATCAACTAATAGATAAAATGGATCTTAACATACAGTACTGTAAATCGGGATTCAACGACGCATAGATGCCATTGAATATTTGGTAAATTTGTAAATCAGTTACCAGTCATATTTTGATCTCCTATTCTTCAAACTGATAGAATCTAATTTTAATCGATGTTCACGAGTTTTTGAAATTATCATAGACATATTATATTTATATCTCATGTTTTCAGCTTCTATTCAAACTTATCCCACAGGCATTTTTTCAAAATCAGACACTCACTAACACTTGTTTGTTCATGTCATGATTGCAAACTGCATGTTGCGGTCTAATTCGATCCATGCTGTCCAGATACTTTTGTCCTTATTGCTTCTACCATATCAAGCATCTGTAAATAATTTTGGAAATTACATAACGAATTCATTCACTGACATTTTACAAATACATTCTTCCTCCTTAATCTAACAGTTATCCTGTACAATTCTTTCTTATTTTACATTGAATCTCAAACTAGTTCTTATAAAATAATATTATATTCTCCCGTTCGGCGTTCTTATTCAACAATAACTGATGAAACTTTTTGTTCAACAGCATTTAAATCCTTGCGAGCTTATAAAATATCAGAAAACATCAATTTATATAAGTTAGTTCCGCTTGGAATCTCGTAAAGCGACCGAATAATTTCATACTGCGGAAAAACTTGTTTGAAACTTATTACTGATTGGTAATTTTTTAGCGAACGTTTTACTATCGAATTAAACATTTGAGTTTGGGGTGAATGAGAAATTTTCAAGTACAAACGAAATGTCTCAGTGGTTTCCTAGTGTTTAACATAAATAATCATTTACAGCAAATCAACACACATGTTTAGGGTGTTTAATAAGAGATATCTGATTGAATTACTTTGTTCCACAACAAAACTTAAAGTCCATAACATAATTTTGGATCACACACGCGTGACTCGAACCCAGGCCTTTTAATCTCACGCACGAACTTTTGACCTCTAAAAGTATTAATATTTAATCTCGACCGATCCACGACCTTGCACAACCCTTCATCCATTGTCTCAGGTGGATAACTGTTTCACATCCGACACAGGTTGGACTCCACTGGTCACGGATTCTCATTAGAAATAGACACTAATGCCATTGAATCCCTGCTGAATGGTCTAGAGGTTAAGTGTTCGCACGTGAGACTGAAGAGCCGGAGTTCGAGTCACGAGTGCGGGATCGTAGATGCGCACTGCTGAGGAGTTCCATACCAGAACGAAACGGCCGTCCAGTGCTTCCAGGTTTTCAATGGAGGTCTAGTTTAGATATATGATTTTTGAAATAATTCAAGATTAATTTTCTAAGAAAATCATTCGAATTCAGTTTTGCTGAATACGCGGGAAATTATTATTGGTAATCTGTTATTACTACTAAACATGTCACAGTAACTTGTTTAAATATAACCATTTTACAAGACAGAAAATAATTGGGAAAGAACTGGGACTGCTAGTATATAAAATTTATTTATTTAACGATTAATGTCTTGTAATTGGAATCAAAGAACGAAGTACTTCATCGAGTCCAACAAATTGATCTAAGCGTCATTTGCCATTGCCTTTTGCTCAGTACCATGAAATCCTAGAAAATGATAACAACAATTGAAGTTGTTACGCAATCTTATGGGCAATAATTAGTTAGCCATAAACAATGAAGGTTCTACCATTAGTTTATATTAGCTAATGTCCACACATTTAACAACACTATAAAAAGAATAAAAAATTGGAAACACATCGGTTTAATAACTAACAGTCTTTTGTGGAAAACAAAATATAGAGTGTCTACTAGGTAAAGGACAAGTATGAAGAATAAATATTTAGATTCAGAAACAAGAGGACGAATAAATGAATACATATGTACTACTAATATCAATTTCAGGTCATATCACGTGACATTCTCATTTATATATTGCAATATTCGAGAGAACCTTAATCTGGAAATAAAGTATTTCTAATTCAACTTATGGTATGTTTATTTTAGGCGTCCAAGCTTAATTAGATATCTTACAGCACAGAATGTAAGAATCATCAAGTACAAATACAACCATTTGATAAGTGTCACTTAGCATTACAAACACTACACTCCAATAAATATCTAAGATTAAACATTCGCAGCCAAACTAAGCACTTTTTTGACTAGAATTTGAATACATAATATTGTTAAGTTTACTTTCTATCAATGTGTATATATGCATGTTTATCAGTCATTTCAATCTGCTTGTATTTACTTAATACACCTGGTGTGAGGTAATTAAATAATTTTACTTTACTTTATCTGTATTTATGAAACTCCTAACCGACCAACTCACCAGTAAACAATACAAAAAAAATGGATTTAGTTCAAAAAAGTACTCTGACCATTTAAAACAGCAAAAGTGCAAAGATAATTATGTGTATATCACTGTATATACTGAGATATTTCTTGATATATATTGGGAATAAAGGATAATAAACAAGTATTCGTTCTGAAAAAAATCTTAGCGTGAAAGCATCTAAGATTATTACTGATGGCGACAGTTGCTACCTTGTTTACTTACTTTTACAATAATGACAACCGTGGAATGCAAATTAGTTTTTATATGAGAAATAATCATGACCAAAAACAAAAGAGAATAATACAATTGATTATGGTGGTATTGAAATAAATTTTTGTGTGTTACAAAACACACACATAAAAGCTTTACTTGAATAATTTGTTATGTAATTAAGATAATTCCAGACTCCTTTATTTTATATTTGACCTACTCTATACACAGTAACGGTAGAAGAGGTGTTTTCCTGAATGTTCAGATAAGCTACAGATAACTTGGATGGGCATGAAAGAAGAATAACCTATTCAAACAATGATTATCAGTCACACATGCTGATATATTCAGTGTACTTATGGATAAGGAATGTAAGGTCTAGATTTTTATACATTATATAATGAACTGAAGTTTTACATCTGGTTTTCGATTATTTCTGGTACAAAGCATTATTCGTGCACATAAGCTATGCTTTATAGGAAATGGTTAGACAAAGCAATATATCCTTGGCTGTAATGAAGACTGTGTTCCGATAAGTAATTTTATTATGAAGCACTGACATTAATAGGTTGAATGTGTTCCACATACGACTAAAAGCGGACTCCATAGAATGTTGTGGTGATTATTCAATACATTTACCTTGCAATTAAATATGTAATGCTGTTTTTAAATCGATCATAATAATATAGTACAATATCATACTGCGTACTTTGAGTCGTGTCGAAGTTCTGAACTGAATGGGATTAGTACTATTTTGTTACATTATTTCAAACTCACAAATGTATTATTTGATGACTCTGGAAATAAGTAGATTAAAGAGGGAGGTGTTTGGTTTGTTTTTGTACAACAAAATCCGCAATGGTTATGTTAGATGAGTATTTGTTTGTATATCATTTATGCCTAAGTGAGATTCTAGAGGTCTCATATGTCCGTGAATTGATGTGTTTCCTGACATTGTTTAGTGGCAACAGTACTGCAGTTTTCTGTTATGTTATTCGCAGACAGTCAAGCACACCTTTGAGATAAGTGGAAACCATCTTTCTAATTATAATGATATCATTTTATATTCCTACTCTTCTTTTAACAATAACCGATTTTCTCTTTCGTTTCTTCATAACTCCATTTTATTTCGTGTGGTACATCTCCTGAGACTCTTCTAGACCAAGCAACTTTCGCATGACAAATGAGATAAAATAAATTCCTTGTGTACTATTGTAAATTAGCAACTATATACAAGATAATATCTTTGGAGTCTGGAAACTACTCGCAACCGATAAGAAACTAGGTAAGATTTGAACCTACAAACTAATGGTTTATATTCCAATGTTTGGTCTATGGGATCAAGATACTGCCAACGTTACACCTGCTTTTGTCTGAGCAGCTGTACGGTATCACTCGTCCGAGTATAAAGTAAATATTTTAGATGCTGCACTGGTTATTTGTTTTGTTATTACGATACTTTGCGGCTCTACTGTCAATGACTAGATAGCATCGTTGGTAGCATATAGGCTTAATTCATAGGCCAGTGTGAAAATATTTTATTTATCAGTTGCATTTATTTTAGCTAATCCGTATTTCAGCTGATATATTGGTAATGCCACCTTTGGAACTATATTGCCCTCTCCAAGAGCTAACATGGTATTTTAATTATAACACTGCGAATATCACAAACATGTCTGGGTGCGCAAAAATCCCCCAACAGGCATCTATTGGTTATTGCTGATTTTCATCTAATGAATTATTAGAACAACTCAGAGAACTTTTTAATCCGTCTACCAGTATGTTTGTGTACTACATCTGAAGAAAGGAGTGACTGAGAAACATGTTCCTAAATGTCACATAGAAACTAATATTCTGAGTTTTTTGACAGGTTCAC